ATACTCCGGATGTTGGAATTTTTCTAAGAAAAAGTGGTCACTCGGGAGTAATGCGTGATAAACATGTAATGACTCCACAAATAATTGTTGAAATGGGGTGAGGGGGGGGGCAAAACTAAGGGGGTGTATTGAATCAGGAGTCTGTAGGATTTTTTTGAATTTTTAAAATCTGAGTGTATTTTAATTTGGATTTTCAAAAATCTTTAAAAATCTTGAGATATTCAATAGTGATTTTCCAAAGTCCTTAAAAATATTGAAGTATTCAACTTAAATTTTAAAAATTTTGAAATATTCAAGAGTATGAATTTTACTAGTCTATTGATTTTGTTGGATTTTCTCTCAAACAATGCTTACATTTTCACTCATGGAAATCTCTTCTCACAACCCTAGATTTCTATGGACTTTCATCTATTCGTCATCCAGCGTTCGTCCATCCATCTGTCCTCCAGCGTCCATCCGTCCCTCCATCCCTTCGCGAGTTTTTCGTCCGCCCGTCCACGTGCGTCGCCCTATCATCCACCGGCGTTGTTCGTTACCTACTGTGGTTGTACGGTGATCGACATCCCTGTTGGACTTTCAAACAGAAGTGATGTTTGGATTCTACATATTTTTCAAACTCTACATGGATTTTACAAAAAATCAACCAAATTCTACATGGATTCTACAGATTTTTCAAATCCACTAACTTTTTGAAATCTAAAAACTCTAATAAAATTCTAATTGAATACACCCCCCTAAGTTTGAGTTCATATCTCTCCTCCGACCTCCACTACTTCTCTATACTATGAGTCCCTTATTTTGCGGGGAGGTTATCATGACATTAATATCCTCACAGATTATTGTTAGGTTGGTCTTGATATAATCATTGTAAGTTTGCGGGGGCGCAGCGGAAATCACCAATTAAGAGCTATGCAAACAAATCAATCAACTATGCTGCAGAGAAGACGCTGCATCACTGTCACAGTAACAGATGACGGACAGTGTGCTATAACACTTCTCTGTCACAAGCACGCACACAGAAGCAGATGATGCAGAGAGCGTTACAGCGTCTACTGGGCAGAATGCTGTAACTATAAAATGCGTAAAAAAATGACACCAGATATGTTTACGCAGTTCGGAGCAAATTCTCCTAATCTGCGGGGCCCATGTCCGTGTAATAGCCATCCACTAAATCACTAGATGCAAGTTACACCGGTACATAACAACATGATGAGACACACTTCTCCGAATTGTTATGACAAAACTCCTAATCTAGGATTTCTAACCCGTACCCTATATAGATCCGCTTCGGCTATCACATCTCCACCGAGATCACGAGGACAAACGTGTTGGCAGCCCACTCGTTCAGCTCTATTTCATCTTCTGGATGTCACGATCAGTTTGGCGTTGAAAATCTCCTCCTTCATGTAGATCGCAACCTTCTTCACGCATGGGAAGCTCCGGGACACTACGGGAATGCTCTACATCAGCGTATATTCTTTGTTTTCCCTCTCAATCACTCCACGTAATTACCAGGGACCTGCTGCATTTTTATAGGCTCTTCTTAACACAATCCTTGTAGGAATAGGATAGTAGAAGTTGGCTTAAACTCTACTTCCTTAATCTTGATCCACAAGTAGCCTAAAGAGTTGGGATTCCTTAGCATGTATAGCAGGAGTTATTATCATGTAATCACAATCCCAATAGGTCTCTAATTCAGATTGCAGCTTAAAATCCCGTGCTCAGACCTCTGATCCCGCACACTGTGTTGCAGCATCGTGCCTAATGAACACTAGATCTTAATGTGCTTCATCAGCGTATATGGAAATCTTAACATATTTTTTAGTGCATCATACCGTGTTTTTAAGTTTACAAAAAATTTGATATCTTTTATAGACATGACAATTGAATCAATCAATTCGATTCCAGATGAGATCTATTTCTAGTATATGATTTTTGTTCGGGTTTAAGTTTTATGCGTCTCTCTATATTTTCGATTCAACTCATACACTATTCGAAAAGATATTGATTGGAGAATATGTCAATCAGAATTACTATTGTATTCATTCTAAAGTATCCAATCTTCAACTCTCAGAATTTACTTCTACGGAGCATTTTCAAATTTTAGTTAAAATTACTTTTGTATTTAAACTAAAGTATCCAATCTTCAACTTTCAGAATGAACATTTCAATCTCCAAACAAGCAAACTCCCAAGAAGTAAATTACAAAGGAACTCCCAAGAAGTAAATTACAAAGGGGCTCTTTGGTGAAAAAAAAGATATAAGTTTCGATATCTTGGATATCAAATTTTTTATTTTAGAGTTTGATGAATTGAAAAAAGATTTTTGAATTCAAATCCAGCGAAATAGAAACTCTTCCAAATAACCTCTATTAGATATCTCTTTTAAATGACCGATATCAAAATTAAAAGCCACCGATATCATATTGGGACTGTCGTAATTAGACCTGACAAAAAATGATCCGACCTATTTTTAACCCAAAATCTGACTCGGAAATACAGGATTTTGAACAAAGTTTTGTTTACCAAATCCAAACTTGACCGAACTCAAAATGACCCGCTAAAAAATGGGTCAAAATTAACTAAACCCGACCTGACCGTCCTGCTAATATAAAAAAATTTTGAAATCATATATTTTAATATGAAATATAATGTTAAAAATAAAATTCCAATTAATTTCTTTTCTCACTACTCCTTTTTAATGTATAAATTTATATTTTCATACAAAATTTTAATGATACCACATAATTATCACTTTTTTCAAAATTTGTACACATTTAATTTTTGTTATTCATAAAATTGACACTGGGTAATAAATATGACTTAAAATTTCAAAAAAAAAATAATGGTCAAAACTCGTTGGGTCAACCCAAACCCAATAACCCAAAATAACCTGAATTCAAAACAACCAAACCAGAGCTTGACGGACCAATTTGCCAAGTCTAGCTGTAACTATTAGACCTGGCAATCGGGTCAATCGGTTCGGTTCCGGTTTGGGTCTTTTCGGTTCGGGTCTCATTCGGATATATGTTATAATCGTACGGTTCGGGTCAGTTCGGTTTCGGGTTTATTTCGGTTTGACTGCTTTTCGATTTTGGTTCGGCTTTGTATCGGTTCGGGTTTGTATCAGATCAGGTTTATATTGGTTCGAGTTTGTATCAGTTCAAGTTTATATCGATTCGGGTTTGTATCGATGTAAGTTTATACTAGTTCAAATATATTTTAAATATTTACTAATAAATCAATAATATTACATAATAAATTTAATCAATTTATGATATACTCCGTAGTTATTTTATTATTTAACACGGACGTACATAAAATTTAATTAATTTCAGGTCTAATCGGTTCCGGGTTTAACCGGATTTGGGTTTAATCAGTTCGGGTTTAATCAAATTCGGATCTGAATATATTCGGTTCGGGTTCGATTCGATTCGGATCATTTTGGGTGTTCAAGTCTATTTCAGTTCTTCAATTTTCGGGTCAAATCGGGTTTGGTTCTGGGTTATTCGGTTCGGATTATCGGATCCGAGTCAGTTTTACCAAGTCTAGTAACTACTACGTATACTGGAACTCCTGTCATCATAGCATGGCACATCAGAAACCCAAATTACAAAAGTCAAAAACTCCCCCAAAAACTCACCCCAGGCCCCCTATTTCGCAGCTATCAAATAGTTCGGCACAGCACAACTCGTCTTCTTCGCACATTAAAGAAAAGAAAACCCCCTAAATAGGAGTAAAACATTAAGCTTAACCCTAATGTAAGAGTCCATTGATTATATACCCAAAATAGGAGTAATTACCGTCCTCTTAAACGGTAGTTTGAAATCCTCCGTTTCTTCTTTTCTTCGGTTCAGCAATCCTTCCTCTCTGCCTTTTTCCTTCGTCACTTTCGTCCCAACTGCCCAGCGGCAACTCTTCTTCGCTGCTTCGTTGCTTGCGACACACTTTTGATTCTTCTATTTCGCTTTTCAATTCCCCATCATCTACGACTTTATTGTGTCAATTTCAATTCGCTTTTCAATCTCCCATCATCTTCAATTTTACTGTTCGTAATTTGGAGTTCTCATTCGCCATAGCCATTGCAGTAGGTCAGTTTCTTCTCATAATCTTCGATTTTATGAATTCTCATAACTCTCTACGATTTATGATTCTAGTTTCTGCATTACATTTTATATTTTACAATCATAATTCTCATACATCTTTGAATATGTTCTGCTATTTTGTTAATTGAGTGTATTTGGAGTCTTCACTGCCAAACATATACTGAGATTTTCTTATGTTTTTTTATTCATCTGCAGCTGTATCCTTTACTTTGATGGCAAACCAGATGTGGATAATGGTTCATGTTGATGGAAACTGGTCTCCTAATAATATTTTTATTTCTAAGTACACAATTGGAGTCCCAATTCCAAATAACAGCTCATTCCAAGATTTAATGTTGCATCTGAAACGTGTAATTTGCAAGGAACGTTTTCGTGTTTCATACGCTGTTGGGTCCATTCTTCCACCTGTGAATATAGATGATGAGAGTAGCTTCCAATTTTATATGCAATTGAAGTGTATTTAGTGTGATTTTACGAAGCTTTCATTCACGTAGCTTAAACTGTGTTTGTTATGTTCAAGTGTCCCACAGTATTACAGTGTCAAATTACTCAAACTGTGATAATAACTACGTAGAAGAAGGTGAAAAGGACAAGGAAGACAACCATGAAGGGTCTCAGAAGAAGAATGGGTTAAGTGTGTCGGAGACAGGAATAGTTCACTAGATGTCTGTATTGCTGAAAGCATAAATTCTGTGTCAATGGAATCCACACCTAATGTTGTTATTTCTCATTACCATCCAACAACTATTCGCATGGATTGCATATACAAGTCAAAGATGGACCTTCAGCATCATTTGCAAATGTTTTCCATTGTTAATAACTTCCAGTTCAGAACTGTAACTTCAACAAAGACATCCTATCATGTCGTGTGTGTTGATTCTAATTGTAAATGGGCCCTTCGTGCTGTACGTGTGTGTGGTGCAAGTTTATTCCAAATTAGAAGGTATATTTGCATTTTGAAGTCTTATTTGACCCTCTCACTTGAATAGGTATATACACACGCACACACACATATATATCTGACATTTGGGCTCTTTTGTGTCTTAGGTTTGACTCAGAACATTCCTGTCCTGTTGACTTTCGTGAAGGCAATCATAGACAGGCAACATCTACCCTTCTAGCAGGCTTGGTTTCACATCGTTATGCAGATGCTTCGAAAAAGCCATACCAACCTATTGACCTTATGGATCACATGAGGAGGGAATATGGGATTACTATGTCTTATAAGAAGGCTTTGGTAGTTAAAAGAAAAGCGATGAGCAAACTCTATGGTTCAGATGATCAATCGTACCGCTTGTTGCCTGCGATGTGCTATATGCTTGAGAAAAATAACCCGGGGTCTGTTATATCTCTCACAACATGCGAAGATGGCAACTTTAAGAATATGTTCTTCTTGCTTTGTGCGTGGAGGCAAGCATGGATTCATTGCTTTCCAATCCTTATTATAGATGGGGCTTTCATGAAGGCTTACTTTCGTGGAACACTGCTGACTGCATGCACACAAGATGCTAATCGACAGATTGTCCCTTTAGCATTTGGCATATGTGACGCTGAGAACAATGAGTCTTGGTTGTGGTTCTTAAGCAATGTGAAACATTCACTTATTGAACGCAGTGACATCTGCATCATCTCAGACCGTCATGATGGTATCTTGTTTGCAGTAGATAAGGTGTTTCCTTCCATTCCTCATTGCTATTGTACTGAACATATATTGCGCAATCTCAAAGGGAAATTTAAGGGCAAATCAGAATCAATTGAGTGGAAGTTCAGAGCTGCGTCTCGGGCTGCTACTGTTGAAGAGTGTGAGGAGTATCTTTCAATGTTGGATGAGGATGATCCACGTATACGGGTATACCTTGATAAGATTGGAGTTGCAAAGTGGTCTAGATGTAAGAGTCCAACATCACGTTACTCCTCCATGACTTCAAATTTGGCTGAGTCAATGAACAATGTCAATAAAAATGCACGGGATTATTCTGTAGCAAAATTGGTTGAATTCCTTCGTGGTAGGATGCAACGATGGTTCCATGAAAGAGCTGAGATTGCTAGTTCCACACATACTCCTCTTCCAAAGAAGCGCGAGAATGAACTGATTCAATTGCAACGTGATGCATTTCGGATGAAGGTCTGTTATTTTAAGAGTAGAATATTCACTGCTTCATGCCTTTATTTTTCATCTTTCTTTGAATTTAGTTGGTAATATAAGGTACTTTTCTTGGGTGAGGTTACTTATTATCAACTCACTATTATCTGTGGTGTGTAGGTCAATGCCTCCTGTTCATTTGAGTTTGAGGTTACTGATAATGATTCTCGATCATTCATTGTCAACCTAAAGGAAAAGACTTGCACGTGCTGTGAGTTCCAACTTGATAAATTTGTATGTGTGCATGCTGTTGCAGCGATTGGTAAACGCCCTGGGTTATCCTGCTACGAATTTATTTCCACCTTTTACAAATTGGAAGCATTGGTGTGCACATATGCTGGAATTGTTCATCTATTGGTGATGTGTATGGATGGGTGATTGTTCATCCTATTGTTCATCATATGAAATCATGCACTAATCCAATTCCAATGGCAGATGCAGCTCTTACTTAAGAGTTGTTTAGTATCATTTACTTTATCTCTTTCTGACTATATGTATTTCAATTTGAGATGTTCTTATTACGAATATGGATGATTTAATGTTTTATGTTCTTTTTGTTGAACAATATGGTCCTTGAACTCCACGCTTTATATTTAATAGCCAAATACTTGTTACATTTTTACACAATTTCAAGAGTTACATTTTATACGTCCATACATGACTCCATAAAATGGAATTTATTTCCCTATAATAAATTTAAACAATACATTTAACACCATAGAGTGTCATTTTTTTCACAATACTCTTGTAATTTCAAATTTATGTTTTATTCTCTATTTGTCTTTCTTAACACATTGTATTGGTTGTTTTATTCTCTATTTGTCTTTTTTGACACAATTTGAATATATGCACTTTATACTTCCATTGATGGCTGTGTAAAGAGGAAATTATTTCACTAGAATTGATTTAAAAAACACGTTTTACACAACACAATTTCCACAGTTTCACTTTCACATTACTTCAAAACACAACAAAGGCACATGTACCCAAACACAGAATTCTAGCACAGAATGAAACTAAGTCACAATGCAATATGCCAATGACCATCACTGACCATATGCATTGTTGTCATACACCAAAGGTTTCATCATACAAAGCAAAAATAGCAATAGAATTTTCAACCAGCTCAATACACAAAATAGATAATAACATCAATATGTTTTATAGTCACTCCTTTGCAGCCATATTTGACTCTGCAAATCGAACTAGCTCTGTAGCCATCTTCATCCTATATGCTGCCATCTGATCTGTACGAATGTCCCTAATGTCCATATCCATCATGAGGTACTCTGTAATTTTAAGCACAAACATACCACAACTCCCACTGCAAAAATCAAGAAATATATTAGGAGACCCTATTTAAAATATGTACAAAAAAAATCTCTCAACTATAATGTTTTGTTTTATAAGTTGATACTTACGCATCAGTCTATTTTGGGCAAAAATCTGCAGCCTTCAAATCAAGCTTGTTGTCTCCCATTGGTCCAGTAGGATGATTAATGTAGACATCACACAAATCCATTAACTTGGGTAGAAGGCATTTTATGCAAGTACTATATTCAGCAATGTCTTTAAGAGATCTCCCTCCCTTTGAATTATAAACCCATACTATTTTGGACTCCACCGCTAACACTAGCAGCACCCAATGCTCCCCAATATTCAGTGGCATATATACAAAATCTGATCGGGCCCATGGGAAAGCACACTTTCTTGCAAAACCAAACACTTCAGCTGTCAAGTTTGAAACGCTTCCAACATCTTCTTTGGTTTTAATTTTCTTGTCAATGTCGTCTTGATGCCGCTTGAGACATTCCAGGAAAAAAGGTGTCACAGTTGAGTATGTTTGTGTGAGCTTGTAGTTGAATCTTTTCACCTCCAAGTAAAACATGCCAACCTCCATATGCTGTTATGAGTATAGGAAAACAATATCAGGTCAGTATTTATCGACAATGCTACATACAGTGTCATTACAATTGGAAATGTTATTTTGAAAAACAACTTACCAGTGTATCCAGCCACTCTTGATCCATGAAGAGATCATAAAGCCATGTTTTGCTGCTGATTATGAACTTATCCAGTACGATAGGCTTCTTTGTCATGTTTTCNTTTCTTGCAAAACCAAACACTTCAGCTGTCAAGTTTGAAACGCTTCCAACATCTTCTTTGGTTTTAATTTTCTTGTCAATGTCGTCTTGATGCCGCTTAAGACATTCCAGGAAAAAAGGTGTCACAGTTGAGTATGTTTGTGTGAGCTTGTAGTTGAATCTTTTCACCTCCAAGTAAAACATGCCAACCTCCATATGCTGTTATGAGTATAGGAAAACAATATCAGGTCAGTATTTATCGACAATGCTACATACAGTGTCATTACAATTGGAAATGTTATTTTGAAAAACAACTTACCAGTGTATCCAGCCACTCTTGATCCATGAAGAGATCATAAAGCCATGTTTTGCTGCTGATTATGAACTTATCCAGTACGATAGACTTCTTTGTCATGTTTTCATCTCCTTTTGTATAAATCTTTCTGACTCCTATTCTGGCCTTCCTCTTCAACATACCACATTCAAGGAATGTCTTAAGTTTATCAATATCTTCTTGTGGGGGCATTTCCTTAGGGTTCAGGCTGAATGGTCCAATCACGACTTCCATTTGACTCAGAGTTACTTCAAACTTGCTCTTCACAGCTTCCTTCATTTTCTGTGTCTTCTTTTGCACCTTTCGCCCTGAAAGTGAGAGCTTTTGGGGCTCTTTAGTTTGCCTCTTACTCTTACGTGTCAGCACACAAGGGGCTTCATTTTCAGCATTTCCATTGTATTCCTGCAAATTTGCAACATTAAGTTTCCATTTATGGCATGAGGTCCTTTTTTATCCATTATAGCTTTCAATATAATTCGCTCACACTTATTGGTTGTGCATCAATTATCGTATCCATTTTCACATGCTCAACAAGCTCTTTAGTTCCAACATTCACATCCATACATTTCCCTTTTATAGCCATCCCCTCTTCAGGCAACTGCAAAACAATATAAACAGTTACACTGTTTACAGCCAAATCTGACTTGATACAAAGACAATTATATACTTTGTCACATCGCACAGTGCCATTTAACACAGTATACTTTGTCACAGACAGTGTCATCTAACACAATACTCTTAATCAGTTAACACTTTCACATCATCAGAATCCTTTATACCACTTAGTTAGTATTTTCTTTTAAGAATGTTAACTTACAGTGATTCCTTGTTCATCAATTGTAGAATCCATCTGCACTTTCTCGAAATTCGCATTAGCTGCGGGCTCCATATCAGATCCACCTTCCTTCTCAAAGATCTGCATGGCAATAATAATGATAACACAGTTTCACATATTCACAATATACTATCTTATTTAATACAAGAGTAAATGGTCTAACATTTCCTTCAATTGTGCCTTTCAAAATAGCATTTACTTCTTTGTCCATTTGTTCAAAGAACTGATCACTGAACTGTGTTTCAGACAACTTAAACAAAGTCTCAATGCTTCTTTCATCTCTCATACCTTCTTTGATTTTATCATCTCCCTCATTAATGACTGTGGTGTCAACATGACCAAGATCATTGTCATCATGTCTGGAAGTGCCATTGTAACACCCCGAAACCTGGCCCAAAAGAATTAATTAAATTGTTAGAGCAATTGATTACGAATTGGGCCCAAAAAGGGGTTAAAATTATAATTTGGATTTTAAGCCCAACTTTTATGTCATCTCGTAGGAAATATTTTTGTGATCGCGTCGGTTCAGACGGCTCGCGAATCGGAGTTATGGAGCTCAAGTTATGACCATTTAATCAGGTATTTTGGGTCCGAAGCCCAATCCTTTTTGGAATGGGACCATTAAATAAACCTAAACTAATTTCAGCCGTAGAAACCTTATCGTTTCGTTCGTCCTTCTCCTTATTCGTTTCTCTTCTTCTTCTTTCTTCTTCTTTCTTCTTCTTCCATTTCTTCTTCGCCGATCGATCGCTGCCGGAAGTTCCCCAGCCGGTCGTTCGCCGTCCAATTGGAGCCGCCGTCGCCTTCCCCAGCCTCGCCGCCATCATCGCCGACTGGTGCAGCGCCGCCGTGAGCCAGCCGCCGGTCATCGCCGTCCAACTGGAGCAGCCAACCGCCGGCGTCGCCGCTCATCGCCGCCGTTGATTGCAGCGCCGCCAAGTTGTAGCGCCGCCGCTGTTTCCTTCGCCAGTAGCCGCCGCTCAGCGTCGCCGAGCTTCCTGCTGCTGCTTCGCCTTCGCCGGAAACGAGCGCCGCCGTCGCCCTTTGCACAGCGGCCACCCGCCGCCGTCGAGTGCAGCGCCGCCAGTCGCTGCTCATCGCCGTCGAGCTGCCGCTCCGCCACTGTCGCCGGCGTCCGTCACCGTCGCCGCATCCGGCCGCTGCCCCGAGTTGATATCGCCGGCAGATTAACCTCCACGCCGGATTGATTGGTCGATTTCGTATTTTGACTCGACTTGACCCGTTCGGTTGATTTCGTTGATTTGTCTTCCGTTCGAGCTATCGATTCGATTTCGACGTAATCCAGGTCCGTACTATGAAGTTAATAGCATTCAGAATAGATTTAATGGTTTGGATCGTTATATGTGTTTATGCTATAATTTGGCTAAATTGGTTAATTGAATTAAATTGATTGTTTGAATTGAATTGTTGAGGATTGTGAATTGACTGAACAGGTTTGACTTTGACTTGGGTTAGGTCATGTTTGAC